TCTTCTTGTCCAGCATCAGTGCCTGACCTCACAAATGCTCTTTTGATTGAGTGGGCACAGATTCCCAAGACACAGTCCAAAATCTTGTGGAAATCCTTCCCAGAAGAATGGAGGCTGTTATAGTTGTGCATATTAATGCCAATGGTGTTGTATTGGGACATCAGACAAGCACATACAGATGTGATTGTCAGGTGTCTACATACTTTTGGCCCTATAGAGTACACAGTCAGAAAATGAGAGGTTGGAATAAAGAAAGAGAGAAGTAGGCATAAAGGGAGAAAAAGACATGGCCCTCTATACTGCCTGGTCTGTCTCCAGCGGAGGCGATCTCTTAGATATGTGTGGAAGTTCATTTAGTTTTTTTTTTCCCTTCTCCTTAGAGAATTCTTTCTTTTTCTCTGTGTGTGTGTTCCTTTCTCTCGCTCTCTTCACCCCTACGCCTTTGTCTCGCCATTTGCGCAAACAAAACAACCCATTACGGAGGCATCTCTAAGAAAGCTTAACTCGCCCAACTCCCCTGCCAAGAGTCCGGCGGAGCGCTAAGCTAAGCTAAAATAATCCTGACCATTCGGAAGACAAAAAAGGCTGGTAAAAAAAGCAAGATAAAGAAAGTAACAAGGAGGGGGTCCTGGTTCTTGTTATGCTAAGAGTGTTCCGAACGGGCCCGCTCGGCCCGAGTTAATTACGGCTGACATTTGAAGAAGGGCACTTGTGGCGCGGGCTGTGAAAGAGCCTGGCCTTGTGCTAATTGAGTTTGTGTTGACAGCTCCTCCCCCCATGTCACGTTCCCTCACCCATAGACAAGAGAGTGAGAGCCGGGAACCCAACGAGAGCCTACATGTGCTCTGAAGCTCAATTAGCTTTGGGTAGGAGGATGGCGTTTAACATTTTTCCAAGACGAGTCCTCATTTTCAATAGATAGTGTTGCCTGGACACCCAGCTGGAATCAGCACTGTCACTTTACACCCACCAGTCGCTTTGTTTTAGCCAACCAGGTGCACGTAGATGTATGATGAGGTGAGGTTTCCTGCTGTTATGCTGTGTTCAACTTAAATTTCCAACCTCCAACTAGGAGAAAAGTCTCCAAGTAGTAATTCCTACTTGGAAAGTCAGGAAAGTGTTCTCAGCTCCGACTCCAGCAGAGAAGGTCATATCAACAGAGCTGCTCACACTGTCAGAAGAAATAAAGTACCACCTATCTGCTTTTAAACGATTCTAATAGTATTTGCTTTAGATCAGTCAACATACAGGAACTGTGCAAAAATCAGAGACCACCCCTAATTTACTTAATTTCCAGTCAAAACTGCCAAGTGTTTCTTTTTTCAGGAGGTATCTCTGAGGGGATCAGATATAAGACATACAACTAGCATACAAAGGAGAGTGTCAAAGGAAAATTTCCAAAACTGGAGATTAATAAATTAGTAAAAGATAGGACTCCTAACATTTATGCAAGGCCTGGCAGACCACCAAAACTGTCACCATCAGATAAACAGTTCTTAAAGGGGAATTCCTCAGATTTTTATACATTTCTACATCATTCAGTGGTTGAGATGTAAACAAAGTCCTTCAGGGTGTTTTGATGTGAAATGGTTCATTGTAGAGAAACTTTCTAACTCAGATTTCTTTACAGTAGTGGTGATGGGATCCAAGGGTCACTATGTCTACAACACAAATATGGCCATTTTATTAACTATCCAAAACCACTTCTGAGTTTGGTATATGATAATGTCGATAATGGTAAAATAGTGGTACATCTGGAAAAATAGTATTTTCTGTGGGTTTTATTTTGCCATACAGCACCCTGCATGTACCTTTCCACCATGAATGGATTAAAATGATTGCAAAACTATTCTAAAACAATCAGTCTTCGGGCAATATATTTAAATCACTTCATATAATAACTTTCTGTGAGGGAACTTTTAGAGGCATTGAACTCTTCAGACGTCTGGTTCCTATCACCAACAACTTTGGTGGTGACAGGAACCAGATTCTATATGGTAAGTTCTAAATTCTATATTTTATATGGTAAGTTTCTCTAGAATGAAGCATTTTACATCAAACCACTCTAAATGACTTCATTTACATGTTAACCATTTAATTATGCAGAAATTCTGAAAAATAGAGTAAGTTCCCATTTTAATCATCTTTCAGAGATAAGAGAAGAATAACGCTCAATCTTTGCTTTAGATCATAAAAACAAAAACTATCCTGCTTCTTTCAACAAGAAGCAGGCATGTGAAGCTCAATACAAGGGGTGTAGGATGATTATAGTGTATACAGAAACTCTGTCAAGCTTTAGGGGTGAACAAAAAATGAGTGTGGTCCAAAAAGCACACTCTGCGCCAGTCCAGTCCAGTCGTATCCACAAAGGGCCGGTGTGGCTGGAGGTTTTCATACCAACAGAGCAGGAGCGCACATGATCAGTTGTTTGGAGACTGAGATCAGCTGACTAAATGAGAAGACTCAGGTGCATTCCAGCTAGTATGGCAAGGGACAGTATGTGGCATCACAATCTTTGGTAGCATCTGCCTGATGTGTCTGCTGTGCAGTAACCTGTAGCCATAAGATGAAATGCCTATGCCTAATGTAGATAAATATAAAAAAGAATAACAGATTTGTCCTAACAGTTTTAAGCCAACACGTTTTATTTGTTTTGTCCAAAGCTCTGCAGTCCAAACCTCTTTTATACACATAAAGGGTGATTCATGAACACATGCACGCACAGTGAGCCGTGTTCCAGTTCAGATGACCCCCCCATAACTGACATTAATTCATGCATTTGTTTGATTCCGATGCCTAAAGCTGTAGAAGTATGACTCAGTTAAGCTTTTTTCAAGGCTCTGTACACAAAATCTCCCAGCGTTAGATCACGGGAAACCCAGTATATTGTTGGACTTTGCACATGGCCAAATGACAGCAAATTTAATTTGAATTATTATAATTTGTAATTAATTATTATAATTTGGTTTAATTTTGAAAAAAAAAAACAGAAATCATTACTGAGTTAGGAGTTGGGTTTAGGTAGAAGCATAGAGCAGTAGTGGTTGTTTTTGTATCTTTAGTAGTACTTGGTTTTGTATCTTTAATACAAATTTGTTAAACATCCATGCATAACTCACAGATTATCAGTGATTTACATGTTCTTAAATGATAAAAATAAATTTGAGTGCTTTTTATTTACAGCTTTTTCATTTTTGAAAGTTTTTTGCCTGAAAAACTGTTTGTCTCTCAGGCCTTGCATTCAAATATTATAAATAATGTTTCTCACTGACTTTCCTGACGTGTTAAAGATGAGAAAAACATAAATGGAATGCATCGATTAGAAAAATTAAATAACTATTAAAAAGTTAAATTATGAAGAACATTTGCCCCTTAGTTTCATATCATTGGTGTTATTGTTTAAAAAAATAAAAAGCTTACTTTAAAACCCTCCAAAACCCAAACAAAGTGTTTCCAGGTAAAATTTCTATTTTACATGTGAGGCCTTTAGATTTGTCATTGAGGTCACTTATTTTAACACATGAAAAAAAAAATATTCAATTGCATAATTTGCTGATTTATGTGTGATTAATGAGGAGTGACCTGAAGTGACCTCCACCTAGTGTCCATCTTGGAACAATTGTGTTTCATGCCATATTGTGTCGTCTTCACTGGTGCAACTCTTGTGACACCGGTGACTATCAGTGACACCAATGACTAGTTTTTATAAGGCTTAATAAAAAGATTCAGCATTTACGATAATAAGAATGAATTGCTTTATTTATTATCACAATTTAATTGACTCAGAACAGACTTGGCAGGCTAGGTCAGTATTTCTGCTTATGGGCTTTGAGAACCTTGAATAGAGGCAGTTGCCCTGAATGACCAGTATACTAATTGAACTGGGATACTAAGTGAATATTGCATTTTGGATTACTTTGAACACCCATAGACTGGCATAATACCTATCATCATTTTCATAGAAAATCTATGAAAATGGATGAATGAATGGACAAAATTCCCAAAATAAAGATTGGCAGTGTGTATGTGTGCATTTGCATGTAGAAAATAGGGCATGTGGTTGGGCGTGTGGGCGTGTGAATAGGTGTGTTTGTGTGTGTGTAGTTCATCACATGAGCCACTCTCTCTCTGCATCACTGTCTCGAGCCCACCTGGCTCTCTCTAGGTTGGTTAATCTCTGGCTTCTTTTGGGGTTAATTGGCCTCTATCCATCCAGCACTGGTCTGTGTGTGCATGTGTGAGCATCTGTAGCTGAGTAGGTGTGTGATTACTCTTCCTTATTCACACACTCATGGTTGGCCTTCTGTGTCCTGCCATGCAGGTCCAGATAACACCCACAAGTCCCAGATATGTGTGTGTGTGTGTGCAGGCACCCACATGTATATGACTGTGCAAAAGTCAGAGACCACCCTTCATTTATTTAATTACCACTTAAAACAGTCAAAGTTTTTTCAGGAGACAAAAATATAAAATAAAGTAATTCACTTGCATAACGAAGAGGAAAGTCAAAGAAAAATAAGTGGAAAACAGGAGTTTCCACAACTGGAAAAAATGGGACTCTATGTAAGACCTGATAGACCACCAAAACTATCCCCATCAGATGAACAGTACAAAGCTTTCATCTTTGAGAGATGGATGTTGTTGGCAGTGGGCTTTACAGATGCAAGAAATATTAGTGCTTTATTATGATTAGTTCCACATTTATTAGACAAACAAAACTATGTTTTCCATTATACATCAGCTGTTATTATTTGGATATTGCTCTATGCAAAATTGTTACAAATTAATATACATCATTTTGGAATTAAACTTTTATGATCCACAAGTCCCAGATGTGTTCCAGATGTGTCCCTTTTTTTTCTCCAGAAATCCACTTTTTCACATGGCATACACACACACACACCTTTGAATGTGTGTTCTATTTCATACCTGTAGCTTTTTAAAATGTCTGTGAATGAATATTGACAGCTTTAATCTCTCTCTCTCTCTCTCTCTACCAGCAATGGCAGATTTCCATGTGCACCCACACTCAGTACGGACAGATTTGGCAGGTGTTGCACGCTTTCAGTGCCAGATCCATGGCCTGCCCGAACCAGTCATCAGCTGGGAGAAAGACGGGAGGCCGGTGGACACCAGCAACGAGCGGTATGACCCGCATTAGATTAACACTCATAAATACCCACATTTTACTACACTATAATGTACTTTACTATACTATACTGTACTGACCCCTCTCTGTACCTCTCCTCTCTGTGCTCTCAGGTATACTCTGTTGCCCACAGGTGTGCTGCAGATAACAGGTGTTCGGCCGGAGGACAGTGGGGTGTTCTGCTGCGTCGCCCACAACAGCGCTGGAGTCAAACACAGCGCTGGAGCCCGCCTCACCGTCTCAGGTCTCAACTCAATGACACACACACGCACTCATACTCTCCCAACACTCTCAACTTCACACTCATGCTCATCAGAGGATGTCTCTATAGCTCCAAAGCCACTCTGTTCCACAAGCTTAGGTCCTTTTCTGCACACCTAACCTCTCTGTGACATGAGTTACTCTCTGTATGTTCTGGCCATCCATGCATACAGCATTTGTGCTGTGGACTGGTACAACAGGCCTGTACTGGACATTCTCACCAGACACAACAAAGTTCAGATGTTTATACAAACAGTCTCGTGTGATCTATTATGGTGAAGTAGATTGTGCTAAAAGCTTGTGCTAAAAGCTTGTGCATTTGTTTACCCTCTGCAGTTTTCTGGGTTGTAACTGAACAATCCTTTCAAGCCTAGAGACCATCTGAAAAATGCCAGCATAGCGCAGAATTTTTAATAACGGGCATGAATTATGTGTGCAATGTCTTGTCTATACATTCGAGATCTAAAGGACATATCATAAGTATGAATCATGAGGAGCGAGCAGGAAGCAGCTTTTCTCTGATGTGTGAGTGAGGAGCTGCTCCACTCCACTCTACCCACATACTCTGATGCTCATCAGTAGATAAATTTATCATTTTTTCCTTTTAGTAACCAGTGGTTTGAATATCATAAGAGAATTATTTATTTTTTTCGCACCATGTAAAAAGCTAGCTGCCCTTTGATGCTGCCCATTTCCTGATGACTGGACAAGTAGTAATTCTCTGTGTCCTAATAAGTTATCATTATGGAGATTATGTTCGATATGTCTATGATCTTCATCTGCTCTCTCTCTCTCTCTCTCTCTCTCTCTCCCTCTCCTTCTCCCTCTAGGCTCCCAGTCTTCTGTTTACAAAGACCCTATGATACTTGTCGGTCCCGAAAACCTCACCCTCACTGTTCACCAGACTGCCATCTTGGAGTGCGTTGCCACTGGCTACCCGCGTCCCATCGTGTCCTGGAGCCGGCTGGGTAAGCTGAGAGATATTATTAGAGGACAGTGAGTTAGTAGACATAGGTGAGCTCTTGATGCTCAACATGGTGCTTGGTGCTTTAAACTTTAGAACAAAGCCATAAAGATGGTTGAGTTCATAGCTTTGTTCTATGTCAATTAAAGGTTTTTCCCAGAACTATGCGTCCAAGCCAAGAGCTGAGTGACGATAGTGAATTGGCAGTAGATTCTCTATCACAATTGCCAAACAGGTTGTACATGTTAAATGTCAGAAATGTGTCACTTTATTTGGATGGTCCACTGCTTTATAGAGGCTCTGTATATTTTATATATAAATATCTGTTAAATGCAACTGAACTTGAAGTTGGGTGTGGAACATTCTATCAAATCTGTCCCGAATCCTAGACCTAACCCTAACCCTAACCTCAAGACAAAACCTACACCTACTCCTAAACCCAACCCTAACCATAATGTTGTTGATAATCAGCTGCGTATTACTAGAAAGTTTGTTAATGATTTAAGTATCTGTAGATCTTCTATAGGCGGCCATCCATATAAAGTGTGACCAAATAAAACATGCCTATTATTGTTATTTATAGCATAAACATAAAATTAACAACAAAACAACAACAACAACAATAATAATAATAACACAAGGCTACAATAACAGTAAAGGAAAGGTACATTATCAGTAGCCTATAGGCTGAGCTCACAGTAAGCCGTTTTATTATTTGAACAAGAAGCGGTTTGTCGGCTGTAAATGTGTCATTTATCAAACCTATCGCAACAACTAACAAAGCAGAGCAAGAGTAAGTTTCTGTGTAGAAACTGAAGCACATTTTAGGCTTAGCAGTTTTTTTGAAGAAAGGATCAAAGTTAGTATTTGCTGCTCTTTTTTTCAGAAAATGCACTCACGCTGTGCTGTTAGCACAGGAAAGCAGCCCAGCAAAGTGGCTCTTTTTTGTCTTGCCTGCCACCCCTCCACACAGTACTATCACCACTTACCGATGGCTACAGGGCAAGATTGGTATCTTGCACAAAATCTCGCAAGCCTAACTAAACTTCTTACACCAGAGGAGTCAACCTTCGAATTAGCCATGAAGAAGGACCGTGTGGAGATATATCACTAACTTTACAGGAAAAGGAAAAAACCTACTTTACTTTTAACATAAGTCAATGGAACCAGACTTTTTCTAAGTCATTTCTAATAATCATAAGGTCATTTCTTTTGGTCCATTCTTCATGAAATTTACACAATGTAAAGGGCAGCAGGCGTTTTCAAATCATGTCGAAAACTGAAAAACGGCAAAAATGTAGATACGTGGCTTTCTTCCGACAGTAGTGATATGCAGGGCTGATAGCTGGAGCCACATATTTTCTGTTATTTGAGCCAAAGACCACGAATGTCTTCAAGTATCCCGATTTTACTTTTACATCACTCATGAGCTCATTTAGGCATTTCATTTTAAAGCTGAACCCCTGGAGTTCCAATGTATAAAACATCTCTGAATATTAGCACTGACCCAGGACCAGCTTCAGCCTTTCAGATTTTAATGAAAGTGTTTCAAGCTTTGCTAAGTTGCAAGGCTCTATTTAATATGGGCTAACTGAATGATTTACTACCATCTGAACCGGGAGACTCTAAAACTTTAATCACTCTTACAGAGTGAGCATGTAAAGGGGATGTAGGATAAATGTCTGAGGACCAGGATTGCATAATATGAGTAAAATACTGCGATTATATTGCCACATATTGCAGTTGCGATCCTCGTCAGCCCTGCTAACCAGGAGGACCATGAGGACCAGGGTTGCATCATACGAAAGGAATACTAGAATGGTGATTATGTTGCTATATATTGCAGTAAGCTTTGCAATATATTAAAAATACATTGGTGAGTCTATGAACAAAGACTGGCCTGAATTCATTTGACCAAATTAATTACTTGATTTACATGAATACCGTCATTAAAAAAACAGAACTACACATCTGGATCTGTGATTGGTCTGGACAAATAAAAAAAACTGGCTGGAAGGCTCATTTGCACATCGGCAATACTGTGATAACAATGAACAAATGATATATAGTGCAGCCCTACTGAGAATTCACATTATGTAATATACAGAACTAAACCCATTGCCATAGAGCAATAAAAAGCTTATTTTTCTGCCCTCTCACTGCGGATTGGACATTAGCTGTGAGAAACTGGTCCTCCCTTATTGGAAGCCCACAGCTTTCTGAAGCTATTAGTTTAAAGATGCTTCAGAATGATTCTCTGTGTGATGTTAATCTCACTGACCTTCATATAAATTAAAGCAGAAAGAAAGCAGTGTGACTGTGTCTAAGGTGACACTTTGCACTGATGAAGTGTCTCTGCGTGTGCGTGCGTGTGTATATGTATGCATGCAATAGAGCTGCATTAACATCTGTGCACATGCATGTGTTGATTTGCCATCTCGACCATTTGTCTCCTTTCCCCATGTATCATTAATGGAGTCTATTTATCACCATAAAGAGCAGTTTGACACCTGAACATACATTAAATAGAAGAACCTTTCTGTTCCTATTATCATACTAATAAAAGACTTCCTTCATGTCGATAAACTATAGTGGTCGGTCGGTTTAACACTGGATGTGACCTCAACCACATCTGGTAGAGGGTATTGTATTATTAATTGATACTGTCTTACATACGTCGTATATCTCTAACAGTGACTTTACAGGAGAACAACAAAACGATCCTAACTTTCAATGTAAGTTAATGTGAGATTGATGTTATTCAAAGTCATTTTGGACTGTTTCCTTTGCTTCCTTCATCATGAAATTTTAATACAGTGTAAATAGCAGATGATGTTTCAAAATATGTTAAAAAATGAATAATTAAAATCTTTGTGTTGGTCTCATATGGATATTTGCCAGGTAGTTTTAGACGTATATGTTGGAACATCAGTGGTGTAACTAGGACACCTGTAGACCCCAGTGCAGAAAAATTAAAGTGTGGATTTTGTCAAATTATTGCTTTTAAACTTTGCCATAATGGGAAACTCACTTTCAACACAGTATATCTATTTTAACACAGTATATCTCTCACTGTATCTCTTTTATCTCCCTCTATATATCTTTCTCTGTGTGTTTTTGTCTCCTTCTTGTTGCCAATTTGCATAGAATTTAGCCTAAAAATGGTCTGATTGTATCAGTAACCATACTCAACACTTGCGGTGTTGATGTTATCTTTAACTGTACTTAACACTTTCTACAGCACGCTTAGTACTACACTATCAGATCAGGCAGTCTTTTCTAGCTATTACCTGATCCAGTTTGCTCATTCTAAATGTAAATGCCTGGCCGTCTCTGTAAGCAGTGTTGATAATCAGATTGTGGATATTGCCTTGCAGAATGTTGTAGGAATTAAACGCTAACAAAATGGGATTAGATTTGGGCATATTGGATTACAGAAAGAGAGAGAGAGAGAGAGAGAGAGAGAGAGAGAGAGAGAGAGAGAGAGAGAGAGGAAGCTAAGCTGTATAATGGATGTGATATAAGTGTGTCAAGTAATATATGCTTATTGCGACACACAGTGTGTTTTCTCCGTTTGCTTATTGTGTAGACAAACCAAAATAGCGCACATATGTTCATCAGGGCCACTTTCCTCCATTTATACTGAAATTCAGATGTACGTCTCTAACATTATCACAATGAATGAATCAGCATTCGACTTTGATCCCGATCAAGAAACCTCAGACATTCTCATCAAGGTTAAATACAAAAAGTGGCTGCAGGAATAAACGGTTTTAAGAAGCTTTGTGTAGGTGTCTGAATCAATATCAGCATCACAGTAATTGTTGCTCTCAGGCAACAGCCACAATCACAGTATCAATTGCGGACATGCTGAATACAATATACTAGCGATGCCTGGTCAGATTCAGCCAAGGTCGAGATCAGCAGGGTTTTCAAACACACAATTGACAATCAGCCAATTTATTATTTTTGTTTTGGTTGATCTATGTCACACATTTCTGACATAAACAATAGGAATGCACTGCTATGGTGCTGATGCAGATGTGTAATAAAATATAGAAATTTGGACTGTGTACACCTGGATTAGCATTACAGGAAATGCAATATTTATTTCTATAGGGTTGCAAATGCAATAAAATGACTAAAATACAGACATTAAAATGTAGTAGCCCAACATTAAGTGTTCTGCTCTTCCAGAGTACAATAAATATGTAAATATTTATAGAAATAGATATCAGTTACAGAATATCTGTCAAATCTAAACATCTGTCTGAGGCAAATAGTTGTTTTTTAAACAAGTATCTGCCAATACTGATATGATTTACAATTGCACTCATGCTGTATTTGAATGCTGCTGCTACACTTGTACCAAAATGTCAAAGCATAATTATCAGGGGTAGCCAGTTCCTCTGACTTTCAATGCAGCACTTGTTTCATGTTATTTAAATAGGCAACTTATTTTTTGTTTCTGAATTTAAAATGTCAGTTTGGTCCATTAAAGAGCAATTAAAATAATTATCATGTGACATTGGCTGATAGAAAGTAATGGAAATGACCGCTTTATTAGAATCACCTGCCTTGTAGCTCCACCTTGCTAGTGTACAGTCTGAGACTATAGCTCAAATGTTGATGTAACATTTTTGTCAGGAGTCCTTTGGTGCTTCATTAGAGGTCAGTTCCTGACCACAGGACTGCTCTTGGCTGGATATGTTTGATAAACTGTTCTCCACCCCAGGAATGCTAACATGCCTGATACGATTATACCAGCATCACTCACACTATCATGCCACCAGACCTGCAGGTAGAGGGGGACAGCAAGAGATGGGCAGGATCTTAAAATGTTTGTCTGAACCCAACTAGATCTGACTGCTTACGTTACAGTTGACCGGGTTTAGACATCATTGCCCAAATAGGTGTTAGACTCAATCTGGGATCAAATTGCAGGTTTCGGTTGTCACAACTCACAACCCATTTTTAAACCCTTAAGGCCCCACAGCAGGCCCATTTTATTACACAGTTCTATAACCTGAGAATAGCACAACCAGTTTGCATTGAAGTCCCTGTAGTTACGGAATAATAAGCCTGGGATTTTAAGGGGTTAACAGATTTTTAATCTGATGTGCTGGAAATTGTTGATGAATACATTTGTTAAAGAAGAGTTTAAACTGACTTGGACAGTTGATTATTTACCATTAATTCATGATCGAATGGTGGCTATTATTGTTGCTATTCATTATTAATGATTTACATTAATATGTGGTTTTATTTAGCACTTTGAGTGATGATAGGCTGGTTCAGTTCAGTTTTTCTACAGAATTTTTCTTTGGCTCAGGTCAGATTTGGTCTCAAAACTTGATTAAGTGGTCAGGTTCAGACAGAGTTTTGTTGGGTCCAGTTGACTTAATACTTCATGTTGTTGGTAGGGTCAGATGTGGTTTGGACAAGTGGTTGTAGAAGATAGGCTGCAGTCTGTATTTAAATACCTACAAAGTACACATGTATGGTAGCTGTACCTGTTAAATATATAATCTGAGAACTGTACATGTGTGTTAATTAGTTTGAGTATCAGTCCTTAAGGTCTACATGCTTTATGTCTTTTTAGACCTTTCAGGGCCAATGAGAATGATAGTAGAGGTGCCATGTTACACTGCTGCAGATGTATTTCAGTAACAGTGTGGTTAAACCTGTAGCTCTGTGGCAACAGTGATAAAGTCCCATCAGCAGGAATCATCCAGTTTTGCCATCATATTTTGGCTCCTAGTGTGGAGCCCCATTGCGCTAGTTGGCTCTCTAAATTATTGGCTTTTTAAATCATGGCTCTCCGTTTGGTCTTTAGTGCGCTGAATAGGCTATTAGGCTTTAGCTCTGTATAACTTGACTTGGCAGATGTCAGACAATTACGGCTAGTCATTCTAAATTACGCTCGGCTAACATCCGCCTGCCAGGCATCTTAATGCGCAGCATAATAATAACATGAATATAGAGTGGATGACAGTGAACGCTGGGGGGGGTGTAAGAAAGAAGGGGCTAGACTGAAGGAGAAATGTTAGAGTCTTGTTTAATTTGAAGCGATGTGTACAGATCCAGGGGTAACATTTATAATTGATTTTCTGATTGAAAGCACATTTAAGAAATGTCACAGACCGGCTGAGGACTGTAGTGAGGGGTAGTGATGCTACTAATAAAGTCAGAGTATATTTTTTATAATAGTGATAATACTAGTACTGTTTATTTTAATAAACAGTTTAATATGTTGATTATTTGGATGAATAATTGCATAATCCATTTTTTAAAAAGCCTAAACAATGAACAAACTTAACTGAACAATAACACACTGTAGCAATGTTGAGTACGAACATTGCAAAAGAATATATCTGAGCAAGTGAAGTAGTTGTATGTTTAGTCTAAATAGCTAATATTTCTTCAATTTTAGTAAGATTTAAAGGAATGTGACAAACTAAACTTACTAAACTAAGCAAACTTAGCAACAAGCATACTCACTGTTCAAACTACACACTAGCCAACTGTTTCAAGTTGTTTTGCCTCTTTTTTTTTTTTGAACACTGCAATTATCACCTGTAGCCACTTCATTCTGTCCATCAGACTAAAAGTTTTTCTATAATAAAAGGCTTGTTTTTTATAATCCATATCAAACCTGACACCCCTGTGAGCTGTGGGAGAACAGCATTGTGAAAATGACCACTCATAATTGGCATAATTGAAGTTTTACACATTTACAGCATTTTTTTTCCTCAAGCTGAAATTTGATGACTCTTTGCCTCGACTCTGAGTTGTCACGAGTCAGTTAAGGACGAGTTTGAGTCAATGTGTGATTCAAGTCCCCATCTCTGATATACTTTAAGATTACTTAACTTCCTTCTAGCAATTTTCACTTGTCGTAAGTAATTTCATCTAAAGTGACTTACCATGAGTTACACATACATTTTTTTAGTTTCTTGACACTTTACGCTTGCTTTTTTTACACTCTTGTGAAAAATGTGTGATCACATGTAAAAACGTCATATCACATGAAAAAGCTGTAATCTGATGGACAAATCTGGATTTGATGGATACCAGGAGAACGCTACCTACCAGAATGCATAGTGCCAACAGTAAAGTCTGGTTGAGGAGGGATAATGGTCTGGGGCCCCTTAGTTCCAGTGACGGGTGATGTTAATGCTACTGCATACAAAGACATTTTACACAGTTATATGCTTATAACATTATGGTAACAGTTTGGGGAAGGCCCATTCCTGTTCCAGCATGACTGCACTCCTGCACACACACAGTGAGGCCTGTAAAGACAGGTTTGCCAACTCCAGTGGCCCACAAAAAGCCCTGACCTCATCTAGCCTGAAAAAGAAAAGTCCTGAACTCCAAATTAATGCCCATGGCTTTGGAGTGGGATGTCTAGCAAGCTCATACAGGTGTGATGGTCAGGTGTCCACATACTTTTGGCCATATAGTGTATGACTTTTCTAGAAGGGATTCCATTGGCAAATAAGTTTACTTATTTCAAGAAATAATGCAGATAATTAACTTTTTTATTAGATTTTATGATGAAAAGGCAAAATTATCCACCAATGGAATAAGGAACAAAAACAAAAACAAGTCAAAAGGTTTTGGTATTTCAACGATGTTTAAGAAGACTTCACATGTCGTTTTTGCAGTGAAATTATTTAACCAAAAAGTATATAAATCTTCATGTGGAGCAGAATGGATCCATTTAAATGCTTCTAAATGGAACCATCAGACTCTGTTCCTTACTGCAAGAGAAACCAGTAGGACAGTTTAGAACATGCTACTAATTATTGCCAATTCATTTTGAAGGTCAGTTTTAATCAATATTTTTTAAATGAGTTTAACTGAGTAATGGTGACAGCCCTACAAGGCACTGAGCTCAGATGATCCGGCACAAACACATACACACACACACACACACATGGAGGACCCCAGTTGGGCTGCAGCAGAGCTGGAACGAGAGGCAGTCACACACCAGCATTTGCCCCTCACATGACCGAACACACACAGTGGTGCCATGGCAACGGAATTCTCCTGCGTCACTGGCGTTTGTATTTTGCCTCACGTCCCCTCTCTCACGGCACCTCCCACAAACCCCTCACTCAGATCGGCCCCATTGTTCTCTTGGTGGTGGTCACGCAGTCTGAAAGCTTGGTGTACAGCTGCTGCTGTGGGTACCAAACCTTAAAGCTTAAACCTAAAACCTGACGTGAAAATGTGGCACCGTATGACACTGTCTTTAAAATCTGTATCATCACTGTCACGATTAAACCTCGTATCTCGTAAATTTACAGGAGAAGGAAAAAACGTTCTGCGGGTTGAAATCAGTGGAACTACATGTTTTTCCAAATAATTTGGGAGCATTTCTATTGCTCCATTCAGCATGTGATTTTGACCCATAATAAAAAGCATTTTCAAATTCTGTGAAAACATAAAAAATGACAGAAATGGGGAGTTTTTCTCAAACAGCAACACTGTGTAGGTTATCTATACTGATCTCTATAAAAGCAAACAAAAGCATCCCTAAAAACAGTAGTAGCAGCCATGCTGAAGTCTGTGATGGTGTTCATTTGTTTAGATAACAGCATCGATGTATAAACAATGTAGGCAAGATGGTTTGAGATTGCGTAACAGCTCCACATGGTTTGAAGCAAGTGTGTGATGATATAGGCATGCAGTTTGCATGATGCTAATTGGTGGCCATATGGTTTCACTATTTATTCGAGACATTAGCCACGTAGCTCCAGTACAAAAAAAAAACATAAGGAACCTCAACGGACAAAACTCCCACTCTCTCTTTCTCTATTACAGTCTGACTTATTTCTGTATAATGTAAAAATAAGAACAGATTGTACATTTTTCTGAAAAAGTATTCATCTATGGGATGCTTTTTGGAATGTTTGCGCTTCATATAGTTTAGTTCATCTGATTGTTGATCAATAACCACCTTGCCATGATTTTTGGTAAACATCTGTTAACAATGAAAGGAAGCTAGTAGCCACCAAGATATCATTTACATAATTCCTTCATTCGCCTTCATTAATTGTTAGCACTACTGGCATTATTGTCTGAGCCATTCCTTTAATAGCGACACTCACTGATGTGTCACGGTATCTCTAGACTGTTTATTAGTGTTGCTGTAGTTTTGTAATTTTTCTTCCAAAATGTCTCTCCCTCTCTCTGATAGACGGACGGCCGATTGGAGTTGAGGGTATCCAGGTGTTGGGCACGGGTAACCTGATGATTTCTGATGTCAGAGTGCAGCACTCGGGTGTTTACGTCTGTGCAGCCAACAAACCAGGCACCCGTCTGCGCCGGACCGCTCAGGGGCGACTGGTGGTGCAAGGTGAGTCATTGAACCTACGCTTTTCTCAAATAAGTCTATAAGCTAAACTAACCTAAAGTTGGGTTGGCTAGAGTGAATAGACTGATTGTAGCTAGAGTGACCAAACTGCTTAAAGCTAAAATGACCAGCCTGATTATAGCTAAAGTGATCAGCCTGATTATAGCTAGAATGACTAGAGTGATTAGCCTGATTAAATCAGAGTGACCAGACTGATTACAACTAGAGTGACCAGATGATAATAGCTAGAGTGACCAGACCGATTATAGCTAAAGTGACCCAACTAATAATAGAGTGACCAGACTGATTAAATCAGAGTGACCAGACTGATAATAGCAAGAGTGACCTGACTGATTAAATCAGAGTGACCAGACTGATCATAGCCATAGCTAGAGTAACCAGGCTGATTACAGCTGGAGTAACCAGACTGATAATAGCTAGACTGACCAGACTGATTATAGCTAGAGTGACCAGACTGATTGTAACTAGAGTAACCAGACTGATTATAGCTAGACTGACCAGACTGATCATAGCTAGACTGACCAGACTGATTATAGCTAGAGTGACCAGACTGACTGTAACTAGAGTAACCAGACTGATTATAGCTAGACTGACCAGACTGATCATAGCTAGAGTGACCAGACTGATTATAGCTAGAGTGACCAGACTGATTGTAACTAAAGTAACTAGACTGATTATAGCTAGAGTGACCAGACTGATTATAGTCAGGATGACCAGGCTGGTGTGCCGTGCACCCAAAGAGTTTTAGAAAATGCAGTGACTAGAAAGTTCTTCAAAAGCCAGGCTACAGTAAAGATGGGCTGCATTTCTAGACTGCCACATCAACAAAAGTAGTTCCTTTTAGAAGGATCTTTCAAATAAAGCTGAAAATGCAGCCTATATTCTGACAGTTTTCGAGGACTTCTGTCGATCATAATGCATAACCCTCATCTGCAGCATTTGTGTTGAAATGTAAATGGTTCACATAAGCTGTGTTTCAAAAGTCTCTGTTGAAAGTGGTTTAGTTTGGTGTCAACTTTCTAAAATGTATAATGAAGAATTATCAAAAATCAGTCTTAGCCCTTTGAATAGCCAATATTAATGGTAAGAGTGTACAAACTGTAGTACACTACGCATGTGTAAGGAACCTTCATAGGACAGTGTTACAGAGGATCCACCTTTATTAGCTGCAGGCTAGCCTTTGGAATGGAGCTGATGTACGATAGCAGGAAGCATCGACCAGAGCTCACAGCCTCACGGAGCTGATAGTAATGCTAGGGCATGGTCAATACTTCATTTAATCTTCCTGATCAGCAGGAGGCAAGGCCACTGCATTATGCCGCTCCGAGATGGAAAAGTCATGCTGTTAATTGTGTGTCAATGCCTGTGATCATCTTATTGATTGCTGCAAGCAGAAAGAAGCAGAAAGAAGTGCACCCTCACCTTGGAAGTGATCTGATACGCTGAAGACTATATGAACTAGCACAGTGTACTTACCAGCTCAAAGCACAGTGTATTTTTTTTTCTCTCTTGGTTTTCACAGGTGGCAGTGGGTGAATGCTAAAAGGAGCTAATGATCACAAATCAAACGCTGTTAGCACATATACGCAGGCACATCGCTGTTCAAGCTGCTCTGATGCTGCTTGAGTGCTGGGAGTGTTAGCATAGAGTATTTTAAAGAGCTACTACTGAAAGGCTGTGAAGAGTTGTGTAGTGATGCTATGTAGCTCAGGGCTGCAGTGGTTGAGATTAGCGTGTTTTAAGGAGATTAATAAAAACTTCCCTGTAGCTTCCACTTTTATCTATATGTTTGCCTTTCCCCTTAGGTCTCTCTCTCTTATCAGTCTCTGCCCTTTGCTCTATGAACACTGTATGGCCAAAAGTATGTGGACACATGACCATCACACCTATATTAACTTGATCAGCATCCCATTCCAAATCCATGGGTATTGATATGGAGTTGCCCCCCCCCTTGTGGCTATAACTCTTATAGGAAGAGTTTCAACATTTTGGAGAGTGTCTATTTGTACACATTCAGTCAAAAGAGCGTTTGTGAGGTCAGATACTGATGTTGGATGAGAAAGCCTGGCTTGCAATCAATGTTCCAGTTCATCCCAAAGGTATTCATTGGGGTTGAGTTCAGGGCTCTGTGCAGGCCACTGGAGGTCCTACACACCAAACTCAACAAACTATGTCATTATGGAGCTTGCTTTGTGTGCAGGGGCACAGTGATGCTGTAACAGGAAAGGTCCTTCCCCAAACTGTTACCACAAAGTTGGAAGCACATTTGTCTGCAATGTCTTTGCACAATAATATCATTAACATTACCCTTCACTGGAACTAAGAGGCTGAACTCCAGACCATTATCCCTCCTCAACCAAACTTTGGCACTTTTCATTCCAGTAGATAGCATTCTCCTGGTATCCACCAAACCCAGATTTGTCATTCAAATCACAGGTTTTTCATGTGATATTACATGTTTCCTTGTGATCACACATTCTTCACAAGAGTGTAAAAAATAACGTAATGTCAAAGTCCCACCTCCACCAAAGTTTACTGTTTTCATTCTGGTAGAACTTGGATGCGCTCATTAGACTGTCAGAGAGTGAAGTGTGATTCACCACTCTAGAGAACACATTTCCACTATTCTAGAGTCCAGTGGCGATGTGCTTTACACCACTCCAGCCAACGCCTGCATTTCACATAGTAATCTTAGGCTTGTGTGCAGCTGCTCCCATTTCATGAAGCTCCTGATGCACAGTTCTTGTGGTGATGTTGCTTCCAGTGGCAGTTCAGAACTCTGTAGTGAGTGATGCAACAGAGAACAGTGTGGTTGAAACACCTGAACTTAATGATTTGAAGGGGTGTCCACATACATTTGGCCATATAGTGTATGTCTCTCTCTCTCTCCCCTCCTTTTCTATCTCTCTCACTTTCTATTGCTCCTTTATCCACCGAGTCTGTAGCGTAGCTACCAAGAGCACATATCTCCACTGCAGTGCAAGGACAAGAGGTTCACTGGATTAATCTCTTTTAAAAGAGATCCATCTCCACTAAACTCACTCTGATGGGCCCCTAATGGCGTCCCCGCCTTCGCAAACCTAGCAACTTTGATTCTTTTGGTGGCCGGCGCATGCAGGGTTTATTGCCTAAATGAATAAGCCTATCACACTATGGACGTCAGCCTTGATGTATCATATAATACGGCTGTGGATACAAACGATATGGCAGTAATTGCAGGAAGGGAAATTGCAATATCAAGGCAGCAGCCGCTAATCGGCTGCTAATCATGAATTTCCGGCTAAACTAAACGCAACCTAATTAAGAAGTAATCACGTATTGGATTAACGGCAACTCTGCATCGGTTACAGCTAATGGAACATGGCTGAGGAAAAGGGCAATTCTGCATTTAGACTTTGGGGGTCGTGGACTTCTCTCTAGAGGCCTCACTTGCAGGCTTTATGTCTTTGTCACATCACTGTAAAGCAGCCCCCACTCTCGCCAGCCTGAAACCTGCTTCTACATCACTTAATCTATTGTAATTTGCGCTGGATGTCGGGTATAGATTCTCTGCTTCTCTCTCCTTCTTTTGAAATCAGTTCTCCACCAGCGTAATGAAGTTTATCTGAAGCTTATTCTGAGCTTATTCCTGCTGCCTATTACCACAGTCACAACACGCTCATAATGTGATCAAACACAGTAATCCTTAGAATTGCACATTCTCTTTTTATTTCTCTTGATTGCCTCCTTTTGCTTTCTTCATCATTGCTCTTTTTCTTTCAGTTAAATCCAGCTGACACTTTCTTGGCCTCTCAAACACTATAATGCTGGCTAAGCAGAGCAAATACAACATTATTAAATGGAATTTATTCAATTCAGTGGAATTAAACATAGAAAGAAAATAAAAGAGTAATCAGTAAAGTGAAGAAAACAATAGTAATGTTGGCGCTACTAATAATAAACATGTAAATGAATAATATCTCTCTCTCTCTCTCTCTGCTTTCTTTAGCTCCAGCAGAGTTTGTTCAGCCTCCCCAGTCTATAGCACGGCCGGTGGGCACAACTGCTATCTTCACTTGCCTGGCCCAGGGTGAACCCCCACCCCAGCTGACCTGGCTCAAGAATGGCCAGATCCTGGAGCCTGGAGGTCACGTCAAGCTCAGGAACAACAATAGGTGAGAGCCAAGCTTCTACAAACCTCAATTATACTGTCTGGGTTCGATATGGTCTCATTTTGGAGTACTGTACACTGGATTGGTGACCAATGGTTTGGTAAAGGCAGATGAACCAGTTCTGAGGATCCTTGATCCAGCTTACAGTACTAAATGGTGATGTGGTCGCCTACACTAGATCAAAAGTTTGTAGACACCCGCTCACCCAGCGTTTCTTCTGAAATCAAGGGTATTAATAGGGAGTTTTCCCTCTTTGCTGCAGTAACAGCCTCTACTCCTCTGGAAAGGCTTTACACTACATGTTGGATTTTATTGCATTCAGCTGCAAGAGCATTAGTGAGGTCAGCTACTGATGATTAGTTCTGGATCACAAACTCCACTCCAACTCGTCCCAAAGGTATTGGAGGGAGCTGCATCACTCTAGACAATGATCCCCTGTTCCACAGCCCAGTGCTGGGGGCTTTATGCCCCTCTAGTCATTGCTTAGCATTGGGCATGTTTATCTTGCGTGCTGTTGCAGTGCTTTTCTTTGGAGACTACAGAAGCTATATGCGTTTACTTGAACACATGTATCAGCAATGGGTGCATGTTAAAGTAGCTAAATATACTAATTAGAAGGGACGTCTAATTAGTTATGGATATGTGTGCGGATTTTTGAGTCAATGATGACAACCAATATTTAACTTCTTATTGTGACTAATAACAGTATCAGAATCCAATATTACATTCCAGACCTCAACATCACTCAGTGTGTGGGATTACTTGGATCATGAGAAGCAAGAAATGCATCCAACTTCTAAGACTGAACTTTAGAGGTGTGGAAAAATATCCCCGCAGATTTCTTTGAAAAGCTGAAAGCAGGTCTCCCAAAAATAATGGAATCTATAATAAAGGCAAAAGAGTGAACTTATTAAATACTGAACGTTTTAAAATTATATTTCGTTGTTGAGTGTAATTTTCTGATAAATTTGTGTTTTCTGCTTTTTTCCTCGTGCTGAGACATGAATAACTTGTATTTTACTTGTTGACTGGAAATTAAATAAATGAACAAGTGTCTGAGGAGTCAATCCAGGGTGACTTATAATGGTAGATAAGCATAAAGTTAGTCATGCCTAGAACTTTTATTAGTGCAGCAGCGACATCCCTGCCTGGACGGGGAATCGAAACCTGTTTGTGAGGTTGTGGTGTTACACACTGTGCCATCCATTTCAGTAAGTGATTCCGTCATCAAAGAACCTTTGAAAAGAACAGCAGTTGAGATGCCAAGTTATTAGTTAATAACTGAGTAATTATTAGCTGTAATTCCAGTATCAGACCGATAATAATACTTACATTTTCCATTTATGGGTCAATAATATATCAGCTGTCGATATAGTATGTGCTCCTCATGTTAGATTAAGGAAAGTATAAACACCTACAGAATATGACGTCCCAAGGCCTAGGACTGAACATTTGCTTGAAATTTGCTTGGAACTGTGCAGCTTGTAAGAAGGAAACATTGGAGGTGAGCTTACCAAGGAAGTAGCTTTACTGAATCTCTACCAGTGTTGTGAATTTGACCCGAGCTTGAATCAGTGTTTCTAAAAATAGATGCGTGTGACTGTTTTTTCTGACACTTGCTGCAGTTGCTTTTTTTTTTGTTCAGAGGCAGTGTTAATTTATTTCAATGTCACAACACCTGGCAAGACTTTTGCCTTCGAGAAATGATTCTTAGATTGCATCCGGAGCGCTCTCTGTCGCTCCAGTGTGGGAATTGGATTTATACCCGTGGCTGTCCCTGCCTATTTGTTTTCTCCAGGGTTATTAGGTTATCCAACTATGGTTGAAATGGGATATTTCTGACTCTGTATTGCGCTTTGAGCTGTTTTGTTTACACCTCACATGGGAAATACGGAAACACGGTTTGTAAAGATCGACAGTGTGCTGTGCGCATGACAGGATTCGAATATTTAAGTGAACTTTGTCATACTGTTGTGTGTGTTTGGCTGTCGTGATGGTGGGGTCTCTGACCCAGTGAGGCTGGGAGCACTGCAGTGTTCAAATGGCCCTTATTGAGGTCAGTGGGACAGGAATAAGCAGATGTAAAGAGCTGTCTTATATATCTGTGCTATTGCTGATGTGTAGCTGTCATACTGAAATATTCAGTGCCAAAACACACACACACACACACACACACACACACACACACACACACACACACACACACACACACACAGCTACAGCAGTGGGGAGGCTGTAAGTGTGAATCGATTGCTGGTGCAAGTGTAATGGAGCGTAGAAAGAGATATGGACCTTTGAGTATACTGAAGCATGTCTATCTGTCTCTCTGTCCATCTATCCACTAATTCATTCATCCAATGGTTTTATTTAGATATTATTTTATATTAAAAATGTCTATGTCTATCTGTCCATCTGTCCAACTTTGGTTCGTTTGAGTATTAATTTGTACTAAAAGGTGTTTTATAGTCTAAATGAAGTTTGCAGATTTGTATGTTTGTATCTAGTGGGTTGAAGTATATGAATTTTATTTGGCTGTTGTTATAATTCAACTATTAACAGTTATAGAAGCCTTATAGTTTGTTCCTTAAGCAGTGAATGTAGATGCTGAAATGATGAGTGGACGGTACGCTCTGTTTTTTGTCATTGTGATGGGTAGGTGTTTGTGTGGTCAGTTGTGCGTGCTCACATGTAGCTGACCTTCAGGATGATCGGACAAGAAAAGCAAACTACAATCAATTAGGCATGTGCACACAATCATGGAGTGTACACACACGCACACACAGGCATACATGTTCAGTCGAAACCCTGGAATATATACAATGCCTTGCAGAAGGTATTCATTCCCTTTATATGGGATCAGATTCATCTGGATTACAAATGACACACAGATTGTTCCAGTCAGTATTTTTATTGCAAAACAATATGTTCTTAAAGTAAATGTTCCAAGTCAGAATACATTATTGTCAGCAGATCTTTAAAAAAATTTAAATATTAAATATATATTAAAATATATATTAAAATATTTACTATGTTGTGCATGTCTATAACTTTGTATTCACAGCACAGAGTTTGAATAGTAACAGTATTTTTCAGTTTAAAAGTTTAATTTCTTAATATTTTCTTACATAATATTAAGGAATATTGCTTTAAATTAATTATTGATGGTCAGTCTTTCAAAATATATAAAAATATCAGTGTCATTTGCAATTTGTAATCCAGACAAATCTGATGACTTTTAAGGGGGTTGAATACATTTGCAAGATACTTTTGCATATATATGTATATACATACATATACATATGTGGTGTTGAAGCTCCATAGCGGCAAGGTCACCATTCTATAAACATAAACCATGCACCAGCAGCCCTGAAAACACACACACACACACACACACACGTAAAGGCATGACTCTGTTGTGTGCATTTCTCAAACTGCTGCATACATGAAATGACTGACACTGATTCACTTCCATTGGCATTTGAATAGAAGCCTGGCTGAGCTCTTTATCTTTAACACCATCCTCTTCTCCCGGTAAAAATCTACTTCATTTCTGACTAAACAAAACTAAAACCCTTGCAATAATAACAAATACAACCTCTCTTTTAGAAAGAATAGGTTATGTAGGGGAATGCATAGAAAAGCACAGAAAGTTCTGTGTAGGTAAATATACGTTACAGTGTTTGTTAGATACATGTGGAGAACATTTCCAGCCAATATACCTGACACTATTGCTTCTGAGAAGATTCAGAGAAAGAAAAAGAGAGAAAATTCCTGTTAGTCCTTCTTTTGTGTTGTTCCTGACTCCATTTCGTGCCTTATCAACCTCTCAGAATAGAAGGACATCAGCACTGGCCTTGACCTTTGACCCTCATTGCAATCAGTTATTTTCCCCCTAAGCCTGGAGAAACTGTCCACTTGCCTCTCTCTCTCTCTTTCTCTCTCTCTCTCTCTCTCTTTCTCACATCAAATCAAAACCACACAAATGTTATAAGTGGACCTCAGGGGGAAAAAATAATAAAACACAAGAAAAATGTAGGATGTGGTGCCTTTAAAGTCTAGTAGCTGGCGTCTACACCGCTAAGGCATGGGCCAGCAGTAGGCATCCTGTAGGGAGTGTGAACCTGTGTGAAGCTGGTCTTAAACAGTCTTGCTCAGGTTGCTATCTCACCCGGCAGTCCGTAGCCATGGCAGCACACCACAGGCCCTCTCCCCCGCTCTGTCATGGCCAGCTGGACAGGTGTTGTCTTAATATGTGTGTGTACAAAAATAGAAATCCTGTTAATTAAACAGAATGAGTGTATTAATGAATTCCACCTGGTTCACACCAGCTCAATAACTCCCCTTCCGCATAAAGTCACTATAAACTGACCCTTACAGGACTCACCGCGACAAACTGAACGCCCCTCAGCAGGGCATGTTTACCAAATATAGATTTAAGCTGTCTGAATGATTGTTCTGTCCTTCAGTGAAACTTCTGAGTTTCCTGCAACATAATTTCGCATGTTACACGACGCAACTCAGGTTTGACACACCATATCGTACTTGGTATAAAAAGTAATCCACGAGATGTAATTTATGGATTTGCAGCATTTTTATCATCATGTTTTTTTTCAGCTCTCGTTGCTGTTCTTTGTTCTACATCTTTATATTTCTCACTTATCTGTTGATCTAGGATTTTTACCTGTTGTGTTTATGTTCAGCCTTTAAAAACAAATGTTTAAGTTGCTGTTATTAATAATAATGGCCAATACTGAAGACATGTGGTGTTATTGTTATCATCAAAAATGTCACCAGTAACTCCAGACCTTTTTATCGTACCATCACTGGGATGAAAACTTCCAATATCTCGACAATTTGAAAAAACTAAGCAGTGGTACAATCAGGGAGCCCACTGTGAGTCTCCCCCTGTTTAACTATGTGACAGAAATACAGGCTTAACTAGGGAACTGAACACAGAGCACCATCATGGTTAAAATAACAAAAAGTTGTGAAATACGGGGCTC